GGGGGAGGAGGAGGAGGAGAAGCGATCCCATCTCACTCGCGCAGCCTTCTCCCTCTACAGACTGAAGCGAAAGGAGGCGTGCTTCTTTCCTCCCACCTCAAGGTTCACTGCTGTGCCCTTCACATGCTTTGAACATGCTGCTCCTCCTCTTTCTCCTCCTCCTCCTCCTCCTCCTACTCCTCATCTCCCTGCAGCGGATGCAGAAGATCGCACAGACCATGTACCTCGAAAACAAGGTCCGTGACCTCCTGCGTCTCCACCTTCCGACCCCCTCGTTCAGGTTCACAGCAGTGAAGCCTCGTCCTCCGTCAGCTTGATCAACGCTGTCACTATGCTTGAGGTTACCCTCCTCCCTCTCTCCTTCCTCCTCCCCCTCGGTTTTCTCCTCCTTTTCCTCCTCTTCTTCTCTCCCCTTGTTACCTCCTCCTTCCCTTCGTCCTCTCACTCCCCTTGTTATCTTCTCCTCACCTTCTTCCTCTCTCCTCCTCTCCCCCACCCTTCTACTCTCTTTTGTGGCTCTTGCTTGGCTCATCCGCCGTAGGCCAACCGGCTCATCGCCAGGAGCGCCATCGAGCAAGGCGTCCTCATTCGGTCTGACGTTCCTCTTCCTCCTCCTGCTGACCTCAACCATTACCAGGGTCAACGACACACGAGACCGCCCGACAGGTGAGAGGAGGGAGGAGGGGAGGAGAGAGGGAGGGGAGAGGGAAGGCAGGGGAGGGGAGAGGAGTTGTAGGAGGGGAGAGAAGAGAGATGAGGGGGGATGGGAGAGGATCAGGGATGTGAAGCTACGATGTGGAGCAGGCGAGGCTCTCTTTCGGTCCTTGGTCGATGCGATCAAGCAGATCGACGCGAGGAGGAGGATAGCAGGTCTTGCTCCTGGCCTCCTCCTCTCCCTCTACTCACCATCTACCTAGCGACCTTGCGTATGGGACCGCTGCAGCACGAGCCCAGCATCACCTGAAGACGCGAGGAGCAGCTCCCTCCCTCTCTCCCTCCCCTTCCTTCCCCTCCCTCTCCCTTCCCTCGTCCTCTCCTCTCATCCAAGGCTCAGGGTTTGTAAGATATCTCCTGCTCTTAAATATTAACCGCAAAGTTGGTCGCGAATAATCGAGCTCTTTCGTTTCATTGCGGTCCCTGCTGCATTTCCTCGTCATGATTTTCTTCGCTACCTCCTCCCCCTCCTCCTCTTCCTGCTCCCTCTCTCTTCGTTCCTCCATCCCCCCCCCACCCCCTTGCTTCTTCACTCATCCCTGGAATTGAAAGGTGACATCCCATCCATTGATGTATGGATCTAGATTTAAATCGGTCACCTGATCCAACACAAAGTCTGCGAATTCTTCAGACTCCACAACTCTCTTTCCAGAAGCTTCATAGGCCATTCGTAGGAGGCGAAGTTTGGCTGTCATAACCTTCTCATAGTCCAGCGGCTCGCTGGAGGTATATATCAGTCAGGTAGTCATTCTAGTGTATGTAGAAATACAGCAATGTCGATCCGCAACTCTCGTCCACAACTGTCTGATTGCTGCCCTCATTCATTGACTTGACGGTATCTTGTATTTCCCGCAAGACTGTAAAACGCAAGATTTTAAATGCATGTTCTCGGCGGCCAATAAATCATCACCATCCAAAGGAAGATCTGGCAAGCTCTG